TCATTTTCATCATATGGTGTGAGGTCTTGCAGTTCCTCATGTTGGCGTTTATTTCTTTTATTAATAATCGTTGGTTTATCAAAGAACCCTTCTGATGACTCTTCAAGGGCTGTGTTATCAAGAGCTGAACTTTGATGTCTCAAAGTTGAAATCAAAAATTGTAAAATTTCTTCAGGTGTATTATGTGACCCTTTTGGGACTGGAATTCGTATAGTTTGTCCCTTTTTATTATTATCAGCAAAATTAATATCAATCCATTGTTCATCGAGAGTACCTATAGTAGAAGGCCAAGAATATGGATAACATATACTATGGACACCACATACCCAATCACCAGAAAAGTAAAGCGGTTTAGGTAAATGAACTCGAAACTGATTAGGTTGATTCTGTGGGTAATCCGAAACATTGCTCAATAAACAAACATAAAAACTATTCGACATTTTTATTCATGAAATGAAAATACAATAAAATGAACCCTCCTTTTATACAAGTTGGGTTTCGTGAATCCATTCCCTTTCGGGATAACCTATAAATTTCACAAGAACATCATATGTCCCATCTGCTCTCTTTTTCTTTCTTATAACCTTCTCTATTCTATACTCTGTATCTGCATCTTTCTTAACTCTAGCCAGCTCTTCTCCATAAAAATATCCTTTGAATTTATCTCCAGAATCATTAGCAATTTTATATCGAATAGGATGAAATTGGTCTTGGACTTGGTTAACATTTAGAATTTGATCCCCCCAATTTGGGATATATCCTTTTTCAAATGCTCCTTTTCCTACCCCCATACGAACAAAATCTCCTTCTTTCAATTTTGCTCCTTTCTTTCTTTTCTTTGAAAACTCATCTCTGTACATTTTCTCCCATATTTCCTGAGCATTTTTGAAATTAATATCTACTGGTCTTAGTCCGTGCACTCTACTCTTTGACTATTAATCCCTTCTAATATTCTATCTAAAACATCAATCCAATTTAATGTTTTATTTTGAGCAAAGTATCTATAAAGTCTTTGCTTCACATTTCTTATAGCTCTTTCTGCTACAGATGCTTTAACTGTCGAATGAGTAGATTCATTTTTTTGAATCTCCTCCTTTTCAAAATACTCTTTTACAAATTTATTCTTAAACTCCAATCCTCTATCTGAAAAAATTCTATGAGGTTTCATAGGCATTTGACCAATTAGTTGTTTAAATGCCTCCAACATGTCATTCGAGCTCTTTGATTTGACTGGGACACCAAAGAGTCGTTTGGAGAGAACATCAACCCCTAGGAGAATATATTTATTTCCTTTGTTATGTCTAGAGAGTGCTTGCATGTCTGCCAAATCTACTTGAACATCTGTCATAAATCCGGCTGCTATAGTTTTACTTCTAGGAAAATGTATTCTTTTTGGACGCATAAGAGTATATGTCCTATGTCCCTCCAAATAGTCTTGCACAACTTTTCTAGGTAACTTTTTGATAACTTTTCGTGCCTCATACCATAATCGATCAACTCCCGAATATGCTGCTGGGGAATTTGGATTATTATAAAGAGAATGTAAGAGCTTCGTTGGATCTGCCATTTTACCAAAGTGAGGGTTTAAAATTACTTATATCCGATTGAGTTGGTTTTCTTATTGCCCAATTCTTCTTTTTAACTCCTTTTATATCTGCTTGAGTTGGTTTTCTTGTTGCCCATTTCTTTTTAGCTACTTTATATGACTGAATTTTTATATTTTTACTTTTTAATTTTTTTACCCATAATTTTCCTGCTCTTTCTGATACCTTTTGTGGAACAGGCATCCATCTTTTCGCATAGGATGTTTCATTTAAATGTTCTAGAAATTGTTCTGACGGGACTTGTAATTTTCTTTTTATTTTTTGACGAGATATGGGAGGAGAAGGTGATCTGCCATCTTTTGCAATCTTTTTTCTTTTAATTCTATCAGTTTTATCTTTGATGCGAGCTTGTGATAATGCATATTCATCTATTGGGACTTTTTTATTTTTAAGTGTTTCTTTTCTTTCTAAATATTCTTTTTTCTGTTTGGTTCTAGCAGATATTTTTTGTTCTAAAATTTGGTCTTTTTGCTCATTAGCTTTATTCTCATCTTCATCTATACCTAGAACTTTTCTTCTCTTAAAACTTTCAACTTCTTCTGTCTTTCTCTTTACAGGTGTTATACGAATGGGTGGAGGTGAAGACGAAGAGCTTAATGGCGCATTTTGAGCTTCAATTATAGGATTTATCTCAGGAGGTATTTTTTCAGTTTTCTCTTTAGACTTCTCGTTAGTTCTCTTTTTTTTCTTAATCTTATTAGATATTTTTTTAATTTTCTTTTTAGGTATACGAGATATTCTTTTAGAAGGTTTTGAAGGTAAAATATTTTCTTTAGAGGTTGATGGTTGTGTTGGAGAATTACGTCTACTAATGGGTACAGAGGGAGGATATGAGGAAGAAGGAATAGATGGTGAGGGGACAATATTATAGGCATGAGCTGGAGGCTCTCTTGGGTACGCAGAATAAGAAAAATCATCACTCATCCATAAATCATCATCTTCGTCGTCTACAATGTTTGAGGCAGGACGAGTAACTGATGTATTCATAATAGCTCCTTTAGGGTTAGCAACCATTTGAACTTTGACTGGCCTATTCGCACTCTCATTTCTCAATTGTAAATAACGTCTTAGCTCCTGGTTGTAGTGTATATTTTTATTCGAATGATGCTCTTTTTTTCTTTTAGCTTTCTCGACTTCTTTTTTGCTAAAATCTAAATTTGGTTCACCAAAATTAGATGAAGTAAGTCCTCTATAAATTTCTTCGGGCACTAGAATTAATTTGTTAGCCATGTTTTGAAATATTTAATAACTATTTGAGTTTATATACCATTTACTTTTATATAATAGAGCGTGCCAGTTCTATAAGAACTGGTGTGAGAAGAGCTGCAAAAACACTTGCTCCTCCTCCACCTTTTTGTCTTAAAATTTTTCTTGCTCCTCTTTCACTCCTAGTACGGCTCATGTGACGAATAAAATCAACGTGTGGGATTAAACGATTTTTCTGTCGAGTAGTAAGTTTAAAACGTGATTTTAAAATATTTAGACAAATTTCGACGATTGCTAATAATTGATTTATTGTTGCATGTCTTAGGATCCTCTTGGTTTTTCTTTCAGATTTTGTATGAGCTAGCAAACGTAAAAAGTCCTTATTTTCACAAACTAATTGACTGACCATTATTTTGAAATGAAAATTTATTTTGAAATAAAAATTATTTTCTCTTCATCGTCCTTAAATATGTTTGTCCTAAGTCTTAGATTAGGATCTGATGAGGCATGTAAATCGATAAGTAAGTATCCATAAGGTATATTAGTAGCTTGTTTATACGCATCTAGAAAATAATCAAGTTGACGGGGAAATAGTTGTACTCCTATATTTCTAATAGAAAGAGCGGAATTTGGAGAGCGCATAAGTATAATATATTGAGCATTTTGGCGGGCGACCTTAATTTTTTTATCGAAGAGATTTTGAGTTACAAAAACAATTGCAAAATTCTGATGGTGAGACTTTTTTGTGAACAATTCTGAAAGATATTTTTCATCTATGGAAAGGAGTAAGTCATCTAGAATTAAGAGTAAAGGTTTTGGGAATTTTTTAATTAGATCTTCAGGTGGAACTCCTGCATAGACATTAACTCCAGATTTTTGAAGGGGAGGAATATTATGACTCATTTCTCCAAAACAATAAAGTATACTCTTTGGTTTAGGTTCAATTAATTCTGACGCTTCAGATATAAATTTTAATAAAAATGAGCTCTTTCCACTTGAGCTGGGGCCTGACAAAATCATACCAAAAGGTAATTTAAAATTTAAATCTTTATTAGAAAATGCTTGTAATTCCATGACTTTACAATTATAAAATAGAAAAATAAATGTGTTTATATAGGAAAATATTTATTCAGTCACTTCCTCTTTAATTTCTTCCTTTTCTGTCTTTTCTTCGATTGGTTTCTCAACATTATCGTTTGAACTAGGAAGACCTACAGTAGCAAACATTAAACTATCGTAGAATTGTTGGAGCTCTTTGTCAAAAAGTATTTGATCAGGAGGTGTAAGAGGTCTCGGGGTTTCAGATGTAACAGGTGGAGGAGTACGCACAAGAGGAGCGGTGGGAGGAGAAAGATTAGAAGACAAATTATGATTAGGAGGATTGCAAGTAATCAATTCCTCGAACTTCCTTTTACCACTCCTTTGATTATCAGGCTTGGTTGATGATCCATAGGGTACATTAAGCACTCTTCCTCTATTTCGAATCTTAAAGAAACAGTGTCCTGGCAGCTCATAAGTCCAATCAAATGGAACAAAACGTTTTTCAGTAAGTCTGGTACACCATAGAGTCACTCCGTCTTTTGTTATTGCAAAATCAATCTCAACTTCTGTACCCTTACACTTGCAGCACTTTCCTGTTTGATCATATGGGACAAAGCGTGAAGTAGTGAAACGATTGCTCGAAAGTGTAATACCTCTAGATGAGATGTCAATTTCGACTTGAGGTAAAACTTGGGAGTTTAAAGATTTTTGCTCCATGAAAAAATGAAAAAATTTCTAAATGAATGATTGAAAATACAAAATACTAGCTCCTTAAATACTCTGATATTCGGTACAATAGGCTCCTCCCATGAAGAAAGAAATTAACTAAAATCAAGAAGAGGAGCACTAATAGTTGAAGGAGGAAGTTGCTTATTAACTAAATTAAATAAAATTCAAGACAAAGGTATAAATTTATTATTTTATATCAATATGATAAGTGTTAATATATAATATTAATTTTTAATCTTATTTTTACTTTAGATTCTTCTAAACACTCGTCACCACATGTGTTTTTTTCATCTCTCCAAGAGTTGGAGCAATAATTTTCAAAGGAGTCATCTCTATAAATTTGTATTTTTAAAACTATTTTTAGCTACAAAAACTAGGACCTGAAACAGTTGGAGTAGGATCTCCTGTAATTTGAATTATTTACTTACTCTTAAAAAACCAAAAACTACCTCTGCGATGAGCAATTGGAGTATTAGGTCGAGTTTTCTCCTGAAATTGAGTCGCTCCTTTGCGAATTAATTTACATTCACGACGTCTGCGTATTTTACGCAGAATAATATTAATCCAGTAAAATAACTATAAATATAAATACATTTTATGAAGTAAATTTACAAAAAAACCTGTAAAGCAAGAATAAGACCAAGCAAAGTATAAACCATCAAAAAACTAAAATTATGCTGAGTATAAGATTGAGGAGTGGTGATTGTTGAATTATACTCATTATCTTGAGTAAAAGTTAGAGGAGTGGTGGTGGTTGTATTTAAAAGTGGTTGCTCTGTAGAGCAATTATCAAAATTATTTAGTGGGGAGTTAGAATAAATTTGTTGTTCATTTGGAGACTTTTTCAAAAAAATTTCAAAGTTGTTCACGTCAATTGCTGAATTAATACACAAAATGGGATTCCTAAACTTAACAGGGCGAATACAGATTAATGGGAGCTCACAGGAGCAATTACGTTCTTCAGTCCAATCGAAATTTGACGGATTGAATTTGGACATTTTTTAAACTTAAATATAGAATTTATTTTGGCCAATAAATGATTTAAAAATTGTTAGTTGATAAAATTAAATGTGTTTATTTTTAATAATTTTTTGTGTACCCCCTATACTAATTAACATAATAAAAGAAAGAAGTAAAAAATTTTTATTTTCACAGAAAAAAAAGAAATAATAAATAAAATTATTTTTTATAAAAAAATAAAATTTAAATCACATAATAGTAATAATATTTTGAGATTTTTTTGAAATTTTAAAAAATTCTTTTTTTAACGGCTCAAAAGGGCATGGAGAAAGAAGAGCAAATGTAGAATATCCACAATAAAAATAAAGAATAGGATCAATGTGATTCGTTCTTAAATTTAGATTTAAAAAATAATTAAAAATTAAAAGGTACCCTTCCAAATTAAATTTAAAAAGTTTTGGCTATTATTGTTATTGTTGTCTCCATTGTTGTTGTTATTTCCTCCTCCATTTAAGTTGATTAATTCCATATTCATTTTTAAATAATTCTGAAAAAGAAAAAAAATGTAAATTAAAATTGAGGTGAACTAAATTCAAATGTTTAAATATTTAAATTTATTCAAAATTCAAGGTTGGGCTCCTCCCACTTTCCTTTTAGGAAAAGGAGCGAGAAAAAAAAGAGTAGTGGGAAAAGAGAGACGGCCATTTATTTTTAAGAAGAGAGAAAAAAAAAGGTTGTTGGAGAAAAAACAGAGCGAGAAAAAAAAGAGTAGTGAGAAATGAGAGAGGGAGGGGGAAACGATGTGGGGGAAGAGAGAGAGAGGAAAAAAAGATGTCTTCAAAGGATGTCGTTCCCCGACGTCCCTCCTAATCCCCTCCTAATCCGCTGTTAATCCACCGACGTAACCCTATCTAATCCCCCGACATCCCCCTACTGCTAACTACTTGCAAATATGCACGGAAGTACCGAAATATACAAAAATATGCATTAAGAACCGGGTCCTAAAGTGCTTGTAACGATGTAAAAACACCATTTTTAAGCGTTTCAGCTTAAGGCATACGCATGCAAAATATGCAATTGCATGTTTTGCCGCACCCTATTTATTAGAAATAACGTCAAATTTGTATCCACAAGCTTTACAAGTTTCACACTCATACATTCCCGCTTTTTTATTAACAGACAAACATTTTGCTTTTTCACCGAATTCATTTTTCCATTTTTCTAAGCGAGTTATTACTTTATTAAGATCTGTAAATATATATAATTTTATTGCAATGAATGTAGATTTATAATAAATAAATTAGGAGAAATTAGCAAAATATCTTAAAACGTTAATAAAACATTTCAATTTTTTAAAAAGATTGAGAAACATTTAAATGTTTTTAAAATTATTTTACCGTTCCTATGACCACTGAATTGCTCATTCTTTATCAAACTGTCATGTGATTTGTTGTGTGCGATAAGTTTGCGCCCATCAAATTGCTTCTTTAATATTTTTAATATACCGTATTGTCTCTAATAAAAGCCCGTCTACAATAGAAGCCCATGCCCTATTAGAATTCCACCGGTATTGAAAAATAGCGCCCAGGGCTTGTATTAGAGACATTCGGTATATCTAATATTTAAAAATTTTACTCTCCTACAACACAGCAACTTAAAATAGGCAGAGGCTGCAAACCAGTCCTTTAGAGTTTTATTTGGTTGCTGCGCCTGTTTTGAAGCGAAGTCATTTCTCTAGTCAAAGAAATGACTCGGTACAAAGTCATTTCTTTGACTAAAGAGCGGTACCATTCGACACAGCTCGACAAGATGATCAGAATGATATATAAATCGTAATATTTTTAAAAGGTTACCGGTAAATCTAAAAGTGTTTAATACAAAATGGGTTATGTGAATTAGGTTTTTTAGGAAATAACAGTTATATCCCCTACTACCCATCAGGGATGTGCGTCATGGCGTTTTTAAAAAAAACCTGAAAAAATTCTATGAAAAAAAATTTCAAGTGCACAAAGGTCCCGCGCATATTTGTCACCACGCCTATTCGTCTGCGCCAATTAGTTGGACGACTTTGGACGACTCCAGATACGGAGTTCAGAACACTGGGGAAGTTGTTCCGAACACTAGGTTCCGAACACCAACTTTCCCTGTCTTAAACAGAACTTGTGAAGTTGGTCCGTCAACGGGGGAAGTGTTCCCAGTTGTTTCGAAACGAGTGAAGTTGTTCCGAGAACGGGAACAATTAAATTTTCACTGTGGCTCCAAAACGACCCTAGTGGCGGCGCCCTAATGATCCCAACCCTTTTGTATATTTAATTACAATCTTTTCCATAATAATTTTTCTGCCTAGCTTCTTCGACTTTGAAATGTTGTCCACCATAAGGGTTAATATTTTGTTGAGGCATTTGTTGTTGAAAAAAGAATGGATTATTTCCGAAACTAGTTTCGAAACCTTGAAGATTTTGAGGAAAATTAAAATTAATTTCACCCTGAGAGCTGGGAAAATTTGAACTAGCAATGTCATGTTCGCCTGTTTCAATCCCTGTTCCAGTGCCTGTATTGCTTCCTTCAACATCTCGATATCCATAAATATCTGGCCATTGCATTTCTTCAGTTGGTTCTTGATTAGCACCTCTACCTGCTTTTCCTCTTTTACGGGGAGGACAAGTAATTGGTGATATAATAAAACAAAGCAGTAAAGCTTTTGAAATTTTCATAGATTTAGTTTATTTTTCTATGGAAAAATTACTTTTTAATTAAACAAATTTTGTTTAGTAAATTATTAGCAGGGTGACGTGTGAGTTAGGCTGTGGTAAATTGGGCAGTTATTAATACGCACAAGAATGGGATTAATACGACAACAGAGAGTAGATGCTATGCTTAGATAGAGTATAGAAGACGCATGGAAAAATTTTTGGCAGATGTTCGCACCAGAGTTGCGTCGTAATCGAAAATTTTTTTTGCAATCGTAATTCGTAATTTTTAAAAAAATTTCGGAATCGTAATTCGTAACTGAAAAAATGCCGTAATTCATAATTCGTAATCGTAATTCGTAATTTTTAAAAAATATTTAAATTAATTTAAAAAATCAAATATTTATTAATAATTGCTGCTTCTCACATTAATCTCTCCAAGTCCTTTTATTTCTCTGATATTATTCAAACCCCAATTAATTCCCTGCTATCCCTCTTAATCCTAATAATACTCAGATATCTCTGTAATCTATCATGCGGAATCATCGTCCCAGATTTAGTTTGATATCATTTCAAATCACTATCACTTAACCCTGAGACAAAACTCATATTTTCAGCGCCGCAGCGATTGCCTCCGCAAATTTGGAGGCAAAATTTCCGAAAAATCTTGGAGACGAATTTCGTAAACTTAATTTTAGGCCTATACCATGGCAGGGGATTAGAAGATATCGTTAGATATTTAGATTAATATATCCCCTGATATTCGTCCAACTCCCTTAATATACACTCAATCCTTTCAAATCACTTATCCTTCAATATCACCTAAATCACTGATATTCCTTGAGAACCCTTAATCCCTTCAGGTTCTGGGACAAGGGATATTTTTATTTACAAACAAATAAAAAATTTTTTTATTTCTTTACTGGGGATACAAAATGAACCTGTTTAGGACGAAAATAATAGAAATAAAATATTTAAAATTATAAAAAAATATTATTCAGTTCTAGAAAGTCTTTAATCATCATTAAAATGATAAATAAGCTAGATTAGTACAAAGCATCAAGATCTAAGAACTGACGATATATACCCTCCAAAACTGACGATATTCACTTTACTCCCTTTAACTCGACGGATACCGTATTTATTCTAATATAACGACACTCTAGATGAGGGTTGAAGAATAAACCGACATGTCGTTATATTAGAATAAATATCCGCCTTAATCCTCCGATATCCGTTAAAAATCTAATAATATAACACAAATCCACTTCTATCATTCAAATCCACTGATATTTAGGGATTAAGAGGAATATCAATAGTGATGACTTCTATATCCCTTTAAATCCCCAATTAATTCCTAAAAGGGGTATATCCTATTTCTAACTGAAAAATAGGTAATATTTACTTCACATATTCTTGCTCCTTCCTATATTTTGTCCATGACTATATTTAAATTTTTTATTAAAAATTGTAAAAATAAATAAAAATGAATACAAACTAGGTAAAGTATAATTGGCTTGGCTTGGATAAACAAGCCAAAAAATTAAGTGCATTTTATTGGCGGATGCTTTAAGGCTCGAAATTTAAGCTCGAAACTTCGATCTAGCTCAATGCGTATTTCGTACCGCTCCACTGCATTACTATTTAGTCTGTTAACGCACGAGAGATAAAAGCTATTTTACTTATATTGCTGTGTTAACATAAAAAGCGTCTTGCGTTTTGCTGCAAGAAATAGTACTCAAAAGCAGGGTTGCGTCGAATTACGAATTACGGCGTTTTTTCAGTTACGAATTACGATTACGAAAAAATTTTTTAAATTACGAATTACGATTACGAAAATATCGGGAAAAATTACGAAAATTTTGCCATTAAATTTTAAAATGGAAAGATGAAGAAATATATATATATTTTCTCTCACTTTCACTTTTGTTGGTTGGTGGTTGAGTGGTTTAGAAGTCAGGCTCCACTTACTTTGGTATTTTGTGGGGCTTGGTTCGAATCCATGATTGTAAAATGAAGTTTGAGAAAATTTTTTTCAAAAATAAATGTTTTTAAACTTAGATTTTGATCTAAATTTGTAAATTTATTTTTTTTTATTTGAAAATTGAAAAAACTTAGAACTTCTTAATTTGTTCATCAATTTTCTAAAATTTTCGCCTGAGTTCTGGCTAAGTTTCTGGCTTCATGCCCATGAGTTCCATCTAAACTTCAAAAAAATTTTTTCACCTAAGCCTTTCCAAAATTCTCAAAATTTCGATCTGAGATTAACAAGGAAATCAAGAGATTAAAAGAAGTCGGGGTTTGGAAAATTTATCGGGGTTTTATTTTTGTCAGAATTAAGTGAGAGT